TGGCAAGAAAGTTAGTTACACTCAAATAAGCTGTTTTTTTTTGCTTTCTTCCCGAAAAGTTTTAATTCTTTTAAGCGAAATTCAATTAAATTTTTGATATGTTTTTCGAAAATTATTTTATATTACTACTGGTACAGAGCGAAACCATTCCCCTCGTTCTCCCGATGCGCAACTATAACTGCACAAACAAAAGTGATATCCCACTGTTGATTATACACCATTTTCGGCGCGCAGACAGACATTAATATACCTACTTGTTGTTGACTCTATCGCCTATTCTATTTAACCTTTGTAAACAGTGGTGACTGTCTACGATTTATAAGACTTATAAGATTAATAAGTTAGTATTTTAATTAACTTTATCTAGTTCACTACGCGATAGTTAAATGGTTGGCAGTGCATTCTGAGAAATATGCCTCGTTGCTAAAGAGAATTAGGCTCGAAAAATCTCCGTCCTCTGCACGATAGCCAAAAAATTGAAGTTGAATGTGTTTTCCAATTATACATACTTTGGAGAAGATAACACAGTTCGAAAAAAAATTTTATAGCAAGCGGTTTAAAATTGGCGCGCAAACAAAGTCAGCTTTTTAAATGCAGGCTTGACCTATCGGGGCATATTACTAAACTTGGCTCGTTGGTAGTAGCCTTTTCTTGAAAGTGAATTTTGTTTGGAAAAATGGCAAATAATCGTACAGGTATGTCGAATCAAGGTAGTCAGTTTCTATATGTTCTGTATGTTTTGTCGTGTATCGTCAATTGTTGTTGGAATATTATTGCAGAGCAGCTAAAACTGCTATGTTTTTCGTAAAAGTATATAGATTAAAGTTTTATTAATATTCTTTGCACGTTTTGATTTTATTTAAAACATTACATGTGGCAGCCAAACATGAGTTTCGCCATTTAAGATTGCTGGAGGTTAGAGACCACAATGGCCGCGACGCGACGACTCTGACGTAAAGACGTGGATTTTAGAAACAATGGATATAAATGAAGTCAGGTTCTCACAAGTTCTTCAAATTGATGGAAAAGTCCGAAGTTTTATAAGTCGCATTAAGAAATATTAGCCTAAATGCAACCGTGTGATGTCAAGATTTAAGGTCATTTACTCAAAATGGCTTTCGGAGTCAATTGTTATAATCTCGGATGAAGAAATGGGTTGATCAAAATTAACTTACTCGCATGCTGGAATGCACTTAAGGTATAAAGTAGAAAGTGTTCTTGCATCGAACATAGATTTTTCAATGCAGCACTTGTTACATGCTGCTTCTGTTTCTGGGAAAAAGGCGAAAGAAAATGATTTGGTTAATTCGTTAAAAGTCGTGAGAGAAGAACAAAGTGGAGATCCTCTTGCCCGTTGAGAAGCATTGGCATTTTTTTTGAAAGATGGGCTCACCAAACAGCAGTGTATCATATATATTATATTCTTAATTTAGATATTTGGCTCTTTGTAACCACTGAGGTGATTTTCGGCCTAGGAGACTCCAATTTGTGGTTTTACATCTTGATGTTTTTCCAGTAAATTAAGGGATCTACAGTTTATACAAAGCCGCTTTATAACGGTTGATTGTTTTTTATTGATTGTTTTTTATGACGTGTATTTATTTCATGTCATAAATACACTAGGAGTGGTTGACAGTCCCTGCCAAGGAGCTACCGCAGTTTTAAATTTTAATCTAATTTTATATTTCAAATTAATTGTCTGTAATTTTCGGATGTTGGTCGTATCAGAATGGCTGTACGCAATGCTTACCACTTGGCTACCACGTCCGCCATCATCAATATGCATTGTCTTAATAAAGCTCGTGGCTGCGATATATTTCCTAATATTCAGCACTTCAAGTTACCGGAACTCTTTGCAGACCAATTACGCAGGATCCAACGCAAAACCTTTTAGACCACATAGCCAAAAAAATATTGGTCCTACAAAAAAATGTAATATCTATCCCTGGTACAGGTGACACATGTTGATGGAAAATACTAAACGCTTTAACTGGTACGTCATCAGCTCAGTGCTGCCCAATATGTGGGATCCAACCAAAAAATCTCCTCGAAACCACTGATTTTGACTCCGAGTGTTTTAAGCCAAGACCTTTGACTCTGAAATATGGTAACAGTCCATTGAATGCCTCTCGGAAAAAGAAAATTCAAGAAGTAATGTTGCCATAAATGTGGTAGTATGTAAACATTCCCAAGCGAAACGGAAGTGGAAATAGTAGTGATGGAAAGAAGATCATTCGTGAATTACCAGTTATTTTCATCATTTACAAGATTTGATCAAAATTTTTTATACAATATGTGTTTTGTCCACTATTTCATTCGAACATTCTTTTGACGTTAAAAAACTGCAGGTATTTTGTAAGGAAACATTTTTATTATATGTTAAAACCTATCCTTTGTCACCGACGGTACATAAAATATTAGTGCATGGCTGATAAATAATGAACTCGTCTTTGGTTCGGGTTGGATGTTTAGGAGAAAATGATTTAGATGCAAAGAATGAGTATTATTTATAGATATGATAGGAAATCACATGCCCGAAAAGATTGTGGCTTAAACAACATGAAATGAATTTTTCTTATTGGGTATGGACGTAGGGTTTGAAGGTGTGGTTTAATTGTTGAAAAAAAATTCTGTAATAACATTAGAAATTTGTGTGCCAAACTTGAGCTCTCTAGCTGTAAAATAGGATTTTATGCAAACGTTCCGGTCATTGACGGCCGCTGTAGTGGAGTCGCTGGCATTGCACTGCCATTCGGAAGGGTCGGATTAAAATCCTGCTTTCGTACTTGCTTAGAAAATTTATTTAAATAAAAAATTAAGCATATTTTCTAATTTCGAACGCTCATCGGCAGCGAAAGTCAATCCCTACGAGTGTATTTCTGACATGGAATAAAGCTCCTCATAAAAAATCATCAGCCGTTCGGGGCGGTTTAGTATAAACTGTAGGTCCAGCCATTTGTTGGAAAAAACATCAATATGCAAAACTACAAATTGGAGGAGGAGCTCGGCGGAAAATTGCTTCAGCAGTTTCTAAGCGCCAATTATACATTTACAAAGGACATACATACGTACGGCGTTTTGAATGGTCAGCTGGCTCCAGTTTGAGCAGGATTTTTTATAGTCGAAGACGTAAGTCAGCCATAATGTGCCGTAAGAAAGTTACAGCTTTTGAAAACGTCAAGAAACAAAGATATTTGGGTATTCAGCTGCACTTTCCTTTACAGTAGTGATATTTGAGATGAAACGAGCAAAACAAGGAAGCACGGACCTCTGCAACCCAGCCAGCTTTTTCAAATTCTTTCAAATTTCCCAATTACTTTAACAGTCGGACAATTATGTGCGCCATTAAAGGACGAATGAAAGTCACGCTTCAATCGCCATTTTTGTATTAAGTACTAACAATTTTAACGCATTGTGCGGTCACTAAGCGATCCAGTTTTTGGTTAGGTTTGGCAGATGCCAAAATTCTGCACCGTACTTTTGAAACCATGAAATGTATAACCCCATATCTTGGAAACACTCCCATTCCCTGAGTGACTTCATACGCGGAAGATGCAAGTTTCATTTAAATCATCCTGTAGTGAACATTCTGCATTCTATTGTATAATTTGGTTAGCTTTTTCCGTTTCTTTTCCGCTCTCGCCTTTTTAGAGCTTAGTGAGTTCATACCAATTAAATATTTATTATTTTTGAATCCAATAAGATTCTGCATATTTGTATCGTCTGGTTTTTCTTAAGTGCCTATATATCTATTAGTCGAGGTATCGGAGTCATTAGAAGTGCCTGCTACCTTGGTTTCGAATTGTGACCAGACTAACAATAAAAATTATAAAAAAAAAGTTCTATTTGCCTTTGTTGCTCGGCAGGGCATGTTAATTCCGAGAATTTCTGACATAAAATAAAAAGCTCCTCGTAAAAGGCCATATGCCAAAGGTTCCTCCATTTCTCGTGAAAATGTCAGGAATCACACCACTAATTCGGGTAGATATTAACGGAAAACTGCCTTAGCGGTTAAAAAGATCTCACAAATTTTTAGACAGAGTTTGGTGAGCTTAAATGAATATTATGATATAGTAATTTTGCAATGTTCGAATGACTGAAAACGAATTGAAAATTAATGTTTAAGTGCAGTTTTTACAAATAACACATTTACATCAATTAGTATGGATTGAAAAACTTCCAAAAAAGGGTGAACAATTTTTCGTGGAGGATTGATAAAAACCAACTAACACTACAAACATCGTTTTAATACTTTCATGTCTTTCCAGTTGGGATCGCCCTTTGGCGATACAGTCAAATTTGTCTGTGACAATTTTAGAGAAACTCGTCTAAAATTAGCTTAATATTGTATTTGTTATGAGGATGGGTTTCAAACATTCTTTATATTTTATTGCTGCTAAAAGGTTAAAAGTCGCAGAAATTTCATTGATATTTTTTGTGAACCAACTTGTAAAAATTTTTCGTTTAGACATTATGTTTTTTTTTGTCACTATGTCAATGTTGGCCCCTGAGAAGTCACAACATTGCTTTGTGGTATTATTTTTCTTTCGACAGCACAACGACAATCATAATCGCGAAAGTATTATACGCCTAATCCAATAACGCAGTTGAAGATAACATTTGCTAATTAAGTGTCTGCAAATTTGATTCATAAATATTTTGTTTTTTTTTCTTTCTTATTTTCTTAATTTCTTGAATCTACATTTTTCTGGTTTGGATTCAGATGTTAATATAGTCTTCATTGCATTTTGGGCTTAATTTTTCAATATATTATTTATTCTTTCTACAAACGAAAATTCTTTCACAAAGATTTCATAATCATATTTTCCCATAAAGTTTTTAGTTGGGGATGGAATGTCTTTGTGCGCGTTTTACACTAACATCAATATGTTATAATTCATCATTTCATTTACTGCTTTTATTGAAAATTCTGTTTTCTTTGTTATAAATATTGTTATACTTTCTGCTGGATTTAATGTACAATTTTGCAATCGATGTAGATAGTGGTCATTATGCAACGCTAACACATGTAGATAATTCGGATGGCTTTATGAAAAGTGAATCTTCTCTGGTCGGTGCACCTTCCGCTCGTGGTATAGGATTACCATCAGGATTACGGCCAATAGCTATTTTATCAGGTAATATTTTTTTTAAGCAGCAACTACGAACCTAATGACGGTAGTATAACAACCTCAAGGGATACAAAACCCATTATTATAACTTTTTACTTAGAGAATACCGAGCCTGCTGATCCTTGCAATATTATTGTTGCAGAGTCCTCAAAAGTTGTTTCGTCTAATAATCAACACCAAAATCGTTTAATTAATGTGATTGAAATCAACGAAAGCAATGATGTAAATGGTTACGTTAGCAAGTCGCCTGATTCTCAGGTAGATCCAAATCGGCAGAGTTCACAACAACACTATTCCCAGAATATCCATCAGCAAACTCTACAACTTAGTACAAATAGTTCAACAATTACATTGCTTCAATCAAATGGCGTGCGAGCAGATGCATGTAACAGTAATATGATTGACACGGCAAATTGTAATTCTTCTTGTAATAACATCACTGGATTTTCTACGATTCTTCAGAATTGTAATCATTATTCGGCAGGCAAGTGCTGTTTAATTACATATGTACCTGTAGCGAGTACCACACACTTGTTTCAGATTGAATAATAACGCTCAAAACGTACTGGGATCACCTTTATATTTTGCTTACACCATAATATTCTACACACATAACACTAATTAAATAAATAAATAGTGCTTAGAACTCACATTTTTAGATTCATAACATTTAAAATGCACGTAGCTATGTATCGTATATAAAGGGTTTTCCAATAGGAGGTTTTATTTTGCATAGCCTAATATTCCGGTGGATGTCACTAGATGTCACCACGCCAATAATAAAAATGGAACGATATAAGCTACAACCACGCATTGAAGTTATTAAAATTCACTATAAATATTTTATCGCTCCTCTTTACTGATGACAGCCATTTCCCACTCGGCAGCTACATCAATAAGCAAAACGTTGCACCGGAAATATGTGGTCAACGATACTTTCAACAAGACGGCACTTCGTGCCACACAAGCAACGAAACCATCGATCTTTTACGGGAAAAGCTTCTTTGAATATCAAAATAACAAACCTTACTGGAAAACCGTTTGCATACAAATATGTATAATATATAAAGCCTTAGCCAAATGTTTTAAACACCACTGTATGACATATGTGGAATATTTTAAATAGTAATATATAGCTTTTTAACAAAGAAAAAAAATTAATAAATATTCAAATGAACTGGAAAGCGAAACAAACATATACGTATGTAAATGCACATACACTGACTCTGGAATATTTCAAAGATTGGAGCGATCCCTTAAGTACGTCCGGGCAGCTTTCTCATGATGTTTCCAATTAATTAGGTATAATATTGAAGCAGAAACAATTAAAACGCTCATAATAATTTGCTGCGGAGTCAACTAACTATTTTAAATTATTTAAGTATATTTACATTAGTTTGAAAGCTCAGTTAAAAATACCATTTTTTTTTTCTTTCCAGTTCTTTCAAAAATTTAATGTTTTTTTAATTTCTTTACTGTGATTTTTTCAGCTACATTGAACTAATTATTACATACTTAATTTGTTAGTACTTTTTTTGAAAAATCCAGCTTAGCACAAAAATCTATGAGAGAATAATAACATCCACCCATTTCTCCATCCTCTGGAGGCTTTTTTGAATTATATGGAACCAACTTCGAAGTGTCTAATAAAGAAATAATTTAAATTCTGGACTAATTAATACATACTGCTTTCATCACCCTTTTGATGGGAAATTATGTTTCAAATTTAACCGAAACTATCAATATCAAACTTCCTGCCAAAAAGATAATCATGAAAATACAACAATAAAATATCTCTGCATTGAATTGAGAGCATCTTTTTCAGTCGGATATAAGTGAGTTGGATAGGGCTCTGTAATAGATCTGACTTTGAAAACGTTCTCGATAACGAGCATTCGATACATTCTTTTTTAGCATTTGTATTTGACATTTTCGCCACAATACAATTACAATAATAGGAGGTAATAAAAAAAATATGCTTTTTAATTTTGTGTTGTTAGTTTGATAAAAAATAAAAACCAAAATGGGTAGGCAAATTTTAGGTCTGGAATTCATTGAAGGTGAGGAAAAAAGTGTAAAAAGGCGAATGATAAAAAGTTGCGAGAAAACAATTACCCTTTAAATTTGGAAGATAGCGTTTTCATACAGTTTTTGTCGTTCAGGCATAGTTTCAAAATTAGATTCAAATATTTATGATTTAATAAACAAATAAATCAAACTTATTTATTTTGTTGCGCACCGTCTATCATTTCGGGGTGAATAATCTAATTTTTTAATTTACCAACTGCCAAATGTAATTTGACAAGGACGAAAAATGCAGTGCTGCCAAAGTTTTTTCAAACATTGTAACCAGTTCGCCAGAATACCAAATTCAATTTCGGGTGTTAAAAAAAAGTAACAAAATTTACTTTACCGGTAACTGTGAGATATGTGTAATACGCTTGTTATCATCGTATATACGTATTATACAAACTCACGAGCATTAATACACGATAACAGCCAATGCAAAAAATGTCTATGTATATTTATAACAAGCCTTTCAATAATGAATTTCGAAGGTATATAAAGTTTTACTGACCTCTATTTAACGATTTTTCAACCCATAACTTTAAATAATAGGGATATTTTCTTGCATGGATTGCATAAATATCCAATCCGTGCAATATCACAACATTAAAATACACGCTAAAAATTGTATGCAGTAGCTGCAAAGTATGCTACGCCTGAACACGTGTTTAATTTCTTGCAATGAAGTGTGTCAAAGTAAATGCATGTATGAGTACATTTTTTAAAGAGTAAGAAATAAAGTAAATAGTTACCATCCATATGAAGAATATCTAGAGTAGCTGAATCAATAAAAAAATCAATTAATTTTTCTTTTTCGGTGGTATGCGGCATTTGAAACAGCAAATTCAAAACTTCTCTTCATATGCAATATTTTGACACTTCAAATCAGTTTTGTCAGTTGCTATCAAATATGTAATAGTTTTGCGATAGTGTGTTCTCTAACTCTTGCATATTTCTGTTTAGCATTTTCGCAGTCCGTGCACGGTACAAGGTCAAGAAAACACCCCTAATATATCGTTCTAGCATCTATTACCATTTTACTGTACAATACTAATTCAATTTATCAAGAGAAATCTTTAGATGGACATCTGGTCATGTTGTGCTTAAGGAACGAGTTTTTTCACCTTGTTAAAAAAAGTCATAACCTCATAATTTATTATAATTTTATTACCCTTAAGTTTCGTTATAGCGAGGTTGCACTGTATATATGCATCAAAACGTGATGAAAGTAATATTCAACCGGCAAACTAATTGCAAACATTTTGTTTGGCTAACGACTCTGATAACACAGTAAACTACAGTAGTTTTCGGATATATGAGATTGTTTTGACCATTTTATCCGAAGAAGATTATATACTGCTACATATCAGTTTTTTGTTACACTCAGCTGAAGTGTGAAGGTCTGCGGAGAAGTTTATGATAAATAAATTATTGTATCTTTAGTAGCGTTTTAGCTTAAGCTTCCTATACGAGGATTTTTGAGGTATAATTTAAAATTGTGGACAACCTTTAAGGCGTCACCGTACCAAAAAAAAAATTAAAAAACAATTAAACGCCATTTACAGGTAAATAATTGATCTAAAACCTAAACAATGTTTAGCAAAAATGTACCTCATAAAAATTAAGAGGGTCCCTCATACAACAAAACTCTCTCAAGCCACGAACTCACAACCTATGTTAATTAATTAATTTTTATATGTTTTCTGGAATGTTCAGCTTCTCACGGAATAATCCTCCAATCCTCCTTTAACTGTTTTTATTTCCTGGGGAATCTCTCGTCGTGCTCATCTAAAACGGCTCTCAAATTTTCCGCGAAAGAATTTATTGCGTAAAATGCAGTAAGTATAGCTTCCACATTTTCTTCATAGCTTTTCGTAAAAATTCTTCTACAACCAAAAAAGTTTGTCTATTATAAATTTATGAAGCAGTAAAACAATTTCATTTTTGCGAAAGATATCTTCGAAAATATTTCTTTCAAATAATGGAGTGCATCACTTTCGTAGTAGAGTACCTTTATAAAGTTTTTGATTATGTTTAACTTTTTAGGTGGCCACAAACACTCCAGTTTTAATTCTTCTTTATAGCATCTAATTTTTTGTTAACATTTATATACGATTCTTCTTTTATTGTACTGTACGTTACTGGTAAAGGACGGTATGTTCTCCCATTATTCAATAAAATTTCCTTTAAGCTTGTCTTATTGCTTTCTATGATCGAGATCTGTTGTAAAATCTAAGAGAAGAATCAAGTGAATCAAAATATTTTCCTAGCACTTCATGTTTTTTACGTGGAGAAGTTATATTCACATTATTTTTCAGTAATTTTTTCTGTTTTCGTTCTCGATCCTAAAATTTCAGCCTGCTCTTAAAACAGATTTAAAGCACTAGTAAGATCATCAATATATTAATTTGGATCACTAGAAGTAGATGGTTGATTGCTGCCATTCCTGATGACTTAATATCACTTGTAAGTTGTGTTGGTGATGGAACTTTCTTTGCATGAGGTATGGGCAATATAAGGCTTGGTACTGCTACTAAATGCATAAATTGGTTTCATTAATACATCTGCCTAACTTAAAATTTGCACTAAGATAACAATTCTCCTTTCCAAATCATAGGTTGACAGAGATTTAAACTTCTTATTTCACCTTTATAGCATCCCAACAAAGCCCTTTGGCATGCGTTATACACAAATTGTGGTGCCTAGTATGTGTGTGAATTTTGACAACCCACAATAAACACAAAGCTTAAACAACTCCGTAGAACTCCAAACTTCAAATGCCGGTAACAAAAATTGAGACGTGGCAGAACAATCTCTTCTTTTCGAAAATGACTATATCATCGCTGCGGGAAATGCGTGTTGTATAGTGTAATTATCGTTTAATTTGCTGGACGCGTACTTGTTTAGAAAATTATATATTGATATTTTGATTTTTTTGGTAAAGCTTTCACAACAATTTGGCAGACAACTTAGCAACAGAATAAAGTTTGCCCTTTTGTTATTTTATATGCCGTCTAAAAGATTTTTATTTGGCTTAATCCGTTTATGCATAAACAAAACCTTTTGATTCCACAATTAATGAAAACGTCACAACAACATGGTGATTATGTAACTAAAACGATTCAAATACGAAATATACCTTTCTTTTTGAAGGGGTTAGCAAAACAAACACGACTTATAATATATAAAGTATTAGATGGTGTGGGGGGAATGGAAAATGTATTGAGCATAAAATTCGGTTGTTTGCAAATATTTTATGTTTTCATCACTTTACTTTCTTCTTTAACAGCTTGTGGATCTGTGGTTTCCTCTACCGACTACACATATAATCCAGCGTATTCACAGTATGGCTCAGCGTATGGTTCTTATGGATATACAGCAGGCACCGGACTATTAAGTAAGTATATTGAAGAAAAAAAGTAGCGTAGTGTTAAAAGAAAAGTCGTTTTAGCCTTTTAGCTTTCTAAGAGCCGGCTCATAGTTCTTAGTACTAAAGTAAAAAACTTGGCTTTCAGAAAACTATTCAGTTTAAAGTGTGCATTGTAACTCTACATTCAGTTATATGAAGGCACTTAATAAGTTGCTAAGGGACAATTTGGCGTGGAGATGAACTATTGATATACCAAGCGATTTATTAAATAGTACTTATGTTAACCATGTGCCAGGAGTTGTACACTGTTGTAAAAGATTGTGCTATGTCTATTAAGCTTTGCTTTTACAGCTCTTATTATTCTCTTCAGCACCGAATTAAAGAAATCACAAGATAAAAAGCCACCGGAGAACTCCTTCCCAATTCTGACTATGTGTTGTACAGCGTCAGTTTACACAGCTGTATAAGTTTTAAAGGGATATTAAATTCAGACATAGTGGCGTAGAAGGCAGCTTTAAAATCGAAAGTTTTCATATCGGTTTTTTCTCACTCGCATTTTTCATGTTTTGCCGCATGGTATATTTAACACACCTAAAGCCACTTCGATAATGTCAAATCAGTTTCTACACCTTACCTCTCTCCAGATACACTTGAACCTTATATACGATATTCAGGAGGCTAATCCCTTTGTATTTGGCCACGGTTGCTTGCATACTCTTAGGCGTAGTGAATATCCTTGGTCATATCTTCCATCGGAGCATGGTTGCTAATCAGGGACATGCTGAAAAATTTTGTTTTGAAAAGGTTTGTTGCGGAACGTTCATCCATGGGAGTAAATGCCAGCCTTTATCCCACCACTATTGTAACAACAAATTATTGCCCTTTTACATGGGGGATGGTACAATCAAGTGATCGGACAACCTAGGATCGTGATCCTTAAAACATTTGCGGTGGCGTCATCAAAAGGGTGGTCCCTTACCCGAGTTCTTTGCGATTTTTCCTTGGTGTATATGTTTCATGAGGCGGATCCTAAACGTTTGCACAGCCCGCCAAAAAAGGTAGTTTTGTTGGCTTGGTCTAAGACCAGATACTGTAAGCCTATTGAACCATTGTAAAAGAATCGTTTCTGGTAACTCCCAGGTGAGTGACTGTTCAAAACTTTGCTCACTTGCGTGAACTTCTACACATGACACCATCCTTCTGGATTATATACATAAAATAAAGTATTAGACAAATGCAGAAGAATTTTAAAAGTTTATGTTGCAAGCACCTTGTCACATCCACTTTTTCCTATTACAATATATACATAAGCACATACATACAGTGGTTGTTGGTCAAGCGCCTACCAACATCCACACACGTCAACACAACAAACTACCACACAAAAAGAAGATGACATAAGCTAACAAAGCGACCGACCAGCCTAGGGAAGGCGGCGTGGATCGCTACTTACGTACAATAATAATAACTGTGGGCAAAAACAAACCAAATGAAATGATCGACTCTATAAACGATGGTCGTCCGAAAACAGTGAACGAAAAAACCACTATGTGAATACAAAATAAACAAAATATACTTTGGGTGCACCCTAGGTGTGGTCCAACTAAATTGATTACGAACCTACTTGCACTACTCCCGTGCTGCCGTGGACACTTTAACCCGCCTAAGGGACTGGGTTCTGGTTGCGGAATGCTTTAACGATGGGTGAAGACGTAATGAAATATGGTATACTGTCGACAACGAACGTCAACGAACAATAAGTGGACAAAAAGAAACTTATAAGTTGCTTGGTCGGGTATGGCTACCAAACTACAATTGCTCCTCTGTTGACGTTGCCGAAGTTCCGTTTCTTTAATATTTTTTAGTGGGGGAACAGTTTTGTAGGAACAACTCATTTTGGATACTTATAATAATGGATAGGCACAAACTGAATACAACCGAGCCATAAATCCATCGCTTGAATTAATGGAACTTTTTGCCAACAAAATTCACTGCCAGAACTAGGAGTGAATGGAAGATTAGGTAAAACAAAGGCAATGAGCAAACCATCATAAAAGAAGTTTTTGTTGCGGCCAGTACGCGACAACTCTACACCTTCCTAAACGAAGAGGAAAGAATCTACTTTTTGGTCAGAGAACGGAAATCTTCTGCCAAATCTTTCTAGTCATCATATGGCCTTAACTCCTTAACGTTCCCTGTCCCTTGGTCTTTGCCTAAGTCATCTGTCAATGTGTCTTCCCCACAATAAATGGCCCTACATACTTTGAGGCTAATTTTGCCGCATAATAATTCGCTGCATCTGACAGCATAAAACTTTTCCTCCAAACTTACTCTCCAGGCATGTACTGTACACCCCGACGTCTGAAACTGTACTGCCTCTTTCGCTCGCCTGCTATAACCTAGATCTAATATTCATCCTAATCTTCTCGAGCCTCTTTGCGTGCTCCTGACAATTTAATATCTCCTGATCTCCTAAACCGTCTACGAAGTCCCTACTGCCTTCTAGCGCCATTTTCCTACAAGAATTCCTAAGATATGGCGTAACTCTAATGCAGCATGCTGCCTTCTCTATCATACTCCCAGCTGGCTGTGTGTTTCACCTGCTGACAAGTTTTGCACGCCCTAACATACTTTGCAATGTCCCACTTCATCGATGGCCAGAAGAACTTTTGTGAAACACGAGCAAAAGTCTTTTTCACACCCATTTGGTCTGCCAACGAACTGTCGTGACATTGTTTTAAAATTTCATTTCTACCATCATGCCCTATTGCCCTATTGCCCTATTCCACTCTCATAAATCACCATAAACAGAAACAAATCTCGGCCTATCAAATCTATCTTGTTGAGAATGCCACTTTCAACTTTCCACGCTGGATACGACAAACACTTTTTCTCTACTAACTTAATGATCCTTCCCTTTCTGTTACACTTTATCAAAATCGTACTGCTGGAGATTCATAGCCCATCTCGCTAACCTAACTTACGGGTTTTTCAACTTATATAACCAAAGAAGCGATTAATGATCTGTAATAACTGTAAACGTATGGGCGCAGTTTCTCAACCGCCCACAGAACCGCTAGATACTCTTTTTCGGACGTCGAATAGTTCCGCTCTCCCATGTTCAAGAGCCTACTCAAATAACCTATAATAATCTCACTGTCATCAAACATTTGCGAATAAATCAGGCGCGTCTGTCTGGATTGTGAAAGGCCTATCGAAATCCGGGCAACTCAAAACCGGAGCGCTCTTTCGCTTCTCTAAAACTCCTCTCACAGTCTTCAGTACACGGTTAGAGATTTACCTTACTCTGCAAAATCGTTAATAAATCCGCGGCGTCTGGATACTGTTACTATAAATCTAAGCCCTGCTGTAGCACATCTATCTAAAACATCTTTCAAAATCTCTAAATCTTTCTCAAAATTATTTGTGACGATATTATTATAGTCCAAAAATCAAAATTCATGAGCCTCTATATCTGGTTCTGTAACGGAATCTGTAAATCTCTGCCGAGTTGCCGGTGCATTATGTAACCCGTATGGCATCCTCTTAAACTGAAATAATCCCCTACCTGGTACCGTAAATGCTGAGAGAGGCCTCGACTGCTCCTCTGCCGGAATTTGCCAATAGGCGAAATTAATGTCGCTATCACATATGAAAAGGGGTAACTATCCCGATCGGTACATTTATTCAAAACCCTATAGTCTACCCAAAGCCGATATCTACCGTCTTTCTTCCTAATCATTGCTGAGCATATCCTTAATCTCTTCGTCCCTACGCGACTGAATGGCGGGATATACAGGGTTAAACCTCAGCTTCACTGGTTCAACTCCTTGCCTTGACCCTGATCTTACGCTCAACTAAACGGGTCCGACCTAGCCCTTTCGGCATAGCCTATTATTTGACGTAATGCCCTAGACTCTCTTTCGCCTAACTCGGAGTAGTCCGCTATTTCCACCAACGGTTCTGGTTCTAGCCGAGAGTAGGACCACCTCATTCGCGATAAATCTGGGATAATACCAATTTTGGCCCAAAAATCGTTACCAAAAATTACACCCTGAGGTAACTTGGGAACCACGAGGCATTCCAGACCTGCTCTCCACCTCGTTAGTCAACAAAATCGAACCTAACACCGAGATATGACCAACATACGCGAGAGGCCTGTTGAAAAATTTGAACCAGAACTCCCCCTAACACCATGTGCACTCAATATCTCCAACCTAATCTGCCTATTACTGTTCTGGCCACACCAGAATCCAACTAAGCCCTAAACTAAGAACTATGGATCTGAACATACAAAGAAACGCTCCTGACCTGAAGTAGTTGTGGTTTCGCCCACCACCGGAAGCCGTACTTCGTTGGATCCCTTGCAGAAATATGCCCGAAACGCCTACCATTGAAGCATCAGGTGTTTGATCCCAGCCTAAAGCTATAAACAAGGTCCGAGACATAAGCCAGGTCAAGTTCCAACAAACTTCAGGCTTTATGACTCAGAGGACGGACAAACGCATTCACCGTTCTGAAATCGACCCTATTGTCACCAGTCCCTACTGAGTGTGGTAGAATGGTTGGAGATACGCGCTAACCAAACCTAACATCCCTTTTTTCTATAAAGGCTCCTCAAGCCTTCCAAACATGGTCTACATCCTCCCTACATATACACCTATATACTCACTCGCGTGCTGAGTCCTTCCCTCAATCTCTTCTAGTAAGAGATCGTCATAGCTGGGGAGTGAAAACTCCAACTTCATCTCTCTTACTAGCTCCTCCCAGCTACCTTAAGAATTCCTGACTGACCTAAACAATATTAGATGTTTCACACCGCGGGCCTCAATCAACTGCTCAACTCAACGAAAAGCGTTATACCCACTTTTGCGCCGTGGAAATGGACGTTCCATTTCGACAATTTCATCGGCTTCTGAGAATCGACTGGAAGACCGCATGCCTTCACCTCGTACCCGAGCTCAGCCTGCGCTCATCAATTATTTTTCATAATATAATCAGAAAGAATATTAGGAGCTACAGCCTGG